CTAAGGATTTACAGGAGAATCTGGTCTCTGTGGTTCTCACTGGCCTCTTCCTACCAGAGGTCATGTCGCCCAGGCTCCCAATATAACTGTACATTGCCCACTCCTGGGAATGGGGAGGGTGAAAGCCACTTTTAAAGAAGAGTAAATTGTGCGCAGCTGCTCCCTGGCTCCAACCCAACAACCCCCAACAAACCTGCACTGCATTGACCAGCTGCATGACATTTGTACAGAAGGGTTTCCACAGGCTGTGGGTGGGTGGAGAATGTGTCACTTCCCTTTCTGTTGATTTCATGGCCATTCGTTGTTCCATTGCTCCCATCCACACCACACACCAGAGGACAGCATGTGACCTAAATTAATTTTTGTGTGATGCCTATTTTTTCTCAGACAACTCCTTGTTGTCACCCAGTCATGACATTTACATTGATTTATCCTCAAGCACTGTGGGTGGGTTCCTCAGTAGTGTAGTCGTTTACACTATGCTTGTTACTATGATCTATAGATTCTACGCACTAAATGGTACTGTATATTGTACCCATTTCTGACAAAAAGGACACTTTGCCATTATAGGCATATCTGCAAGGTATCGCTTTTCATATCTGTGTCCTGTGGGATCCATGCGAAAATAGAGATTATATTTATTCAGAAATTAAATTAGATTAATAATATTTAAAGTAATTTACAAATAGCAATCAACCTCTGTAATTAAGGTAAAAAGAAAAAGGACATATTAACAATTGAGTATCTCCCCTCCTCTTAAAAATTTTAATACTTCATACCTGTTAATAATCAGGAAAATAGCCCTTTCAAAAGTAGCATTTGCAGAAATTGGTAGGATCATTTTGCTAATTCTAATAGTCTTTTAATGAAATAATTTGAAATAAAAAAGCATGGAGACTGAATGCCAATGGAAACATATTGCTGATACAATAAATTGTTAATGTATTTTCTAAATGAATGATTTAAAATAGCTATTAAAGTAAAGAGAATGAGCTTATGTTTTTAGTAATGACTTCTCTTCTTCAAAAAGAATCTGTAAATCCCTGACTGCAATTTCACATCCCAAAAGGACCAGCAGTCCTGAGACCGGTGCTTATTGCCTTTATGTTTAAAAGTAGTATACTTGATTTTATGTCATGGTTTTAAATATTTAGATTTACGGTTGTTTATGCTTTTCTATTTTAAATCAAATCCTGTTATTCTCTCTGACACACAAAAACAATGCTCTCACCCAGTGAGGTCTATTTTTGTACATATACATATATACACATAGGCAAAATAAGTACAATTTTATTCATAGGAGTGCATAATGATTCAGGCTGTGATTGTTAATAAAAATGCATTTCTAACCATCAAATTTGAGTCTATTATTCTGAGTTAATTGCATTTGCCCTAAAGAGACTTACAACTGGCTGTCAGCCTATTTGTGTCAGTTTCATTTTATTCATCAGTCAATCTTGTCTTCCCCTTTTTTGCATCCCATATATTGATCAAATAGATTTGTTAGAGTGCCTCTGCAGCTTTAAAAAAAGTTTGTGTTATCCATCAAGTTTATTTGATTACTGTATTCGTTTGCATGTTGTCTTAATTGATATTTCAGTAGCAAATAAATGCCCTTTTGATGGTCCCACAAAATTTCCATTACTCCAATCCAAGTAACTAACTTGTGGATGTAATGAAGGTGGTGAGAAAAAATATAAACATGAAGCCTATTTTTTAAATGACTGTTAATCTGCAACAGTGCCATGTTTGAGCATTTTATATGACCGAAAGAGAAATAAGTACGGTATGAAACTTGATTTTTGTAAACATCAGTGCTATACCAGTATCTATTATGCTGCATATAAAACCCATTAACAAAACACACACAGTTGGTAATATAAATTAAGATGAAATCAGATCTGGAACAGAGTGTTTTAAGGGCAGTGGGGAAAATGAAACAAGATTATTTAAGGCATAACACCTTGAAAAAAATTGGGGAAGCTGAAATTGAAACATGGGAGGGAAAACAGTGTGTTGCATGGGCCAAGTTGCTTGTAAGGGAGACAAAAATAGGTACAGATAATTACTAGAGCAAAAGGAAAGTGGCTAAATGGTGGTCCTTTCTTCTTCAATTAATAAGGATGTGATCCTGCTCCTAGTGAAGTCAATGGGAGTTCTGCAGTAAGTTATATAGAAAAAATCTGAGTTGAAATTTTGACCCCAGTGAAATCAATGGGAGTTTCACCATTAACTTAAATGGAGCCAAGATTTTAAGCCGGTTCTTTTGCGAGGCAGAAGTGGTGCAGTCATTTTCCCATTATGAAAACCAGAGAAGCATTGTATACATTTTCATTATCGACTAGAGTGTGCAACTCTGGCTCATGTCAGTGAGCACTTAATCCCTGATCCTGAATCTGCACGGATGGACCCCGGAGTCTGCACGGATCCCTCGTAGCTTGCGGGGTTGTAGCCAGAAGCAATGCTCTGTGACTACTAGTATGAGTAAGTGCTCACTGCTGCCAACTGGGGTTACACAGTAAGTGCCCTATTGGCAAGATTTTCCAAACATCAGCTCCCGCATTCAGATCCAGATTTTTCAGAAGGGCTCAGCTGTCATTTCAGATCAAACTAATTGGCCAATTTTCAAAAATGTGGTTCATGCTGAGAGGATCTGGGGGGCGGGGGGAAAGATGTGACCATTTTAGCAAAAAGTGCATTTTTATTGAAATTTTTTGGAATTTTTGTGGCCAGCTCTACAGCTAGTCAAAACATGGGCTCAACTTTTCATGAAAACGTGTGTGAAAAACTTGTTTCTGGTTTTCAAAGAAAAATGTCAAATTAGAAATTTTTCAACCAACTTTTTTGCTGAGGTCTTTTGATAAGTTGGTCATAAGCATCACACTTCCCGTGCGAGTTAATTGGATACAGAGCACTTTTGCAAACCTGGCCTACTTGAAAATCAGACCCAGATCTGTTTTGGAAATCTGTCTGGTTTCTTTGTATTTCTTCTCTTCAGTAGTCTTTTGTGGGCATCCTCTCATAACATTTCAGACTTTTCACTCAATCTTTTCTTCAAGTGACAACAGGGATTTTAAAACTCAATGTTCTCGAAACAAAAATCAGCTCTGCTACAGTACGAAGGCGGTTAGCAACATTTCTGAGATTCAGAATGGTGTGGAATGATAGAATAGCACAGTGTTTCAAGTCAAAGTGTTACAACCAACCAGAACGCAATATAAACAGGAACAGATGAGAAAAATACAACCTCAACACCTTGGGACAACAAAGAAACAGGGAAATGATTGCCACATAAAAGACATTTCAAAGACCTCCCAGAAAATCAGGCATAAAAATCCCCAATAAAAAGGCTCAGAAAGAAAACTGTCACACCCCCTAAGCCTCAACAGACTTTAACAAGATGTTCACATGAGCCAGAGATTGTCTCCTTCGGCAAAAGACAAAAGGCACCGAAAACAATAGTGTCTAGCGTAGGATTAGGAGGCAAGAGATAGCTAAAAAGGCTTCCTTAACCTTACAATTAGAAATCCAAACTCTCCAGCCAAGAGGATAATCAGAAACATGCTGAAAACCTATGTCACAATAACTGTTGTACCTTTCTTTACTCTTTGAAAACTGATATATATATATATATATATATATATATATATATATATATATATATTGCATCCCCTGAGAAATGCTTTGATGACGACTCGATTACAGGCAGCTCCTGCTACCAAACCACAATCCAGCACATGTGGCAGTAACATTTTGTTTCTCATAGTTCATATTTCCCTTGCCACCCACCAGACTGAAATTAGATTACCAAAACTCAGACCAACTTTCCAAACAGGACATTCCAGTAAATGTTCTGCTAAAAGCAAATTTAAACATAATGCCGACAGACAATTGGCTTATCGTGGCCCAACCCAGATACAAATACAACTCCCTCATGCCAAATACACTAAATTAAATAGATTTTTCTCTGGTTAAAATGGAAACAACTTAGCTAATATACTGGGCACACTGAGTTTTATTGGCATTACTAATGCTCTGAAGCAAGAGGGGGAGTATTGGCAAGTGTAGAAATGAGACTGAGGAAAAAAACAGGAAACTTACAGGCTGGAAAGACATTTGCGAGCCTGTCAAGTTTATCCTAGCTATTGGAGCTAACTAGTGGCCATAAACTGAATAGCTACAGAGATTTAATTATGTGCCACATAATTCACCACAGATTAAACTTTCTGGAGCTGAACTGGCATATCCAAAACGTTACTTTATAGACAGGAATTGTCCCCAGTTTACAGAAGATAAATTTGGACACAAAGAAATTGAATAAATAGCCCAGGTTCATTTAACCTAGGAGGAAATTTCAGAGTTTAAGACATCATAATTCTCAATTGTACTTTTAAGACAACTCTCAGTATCCATTTGGAAATGGACTTCGCTACGTAATCCTTTGCTAGATACACTCTTGTTTAAACCATCTTGGAGTCACTGAGGAAGGAAAGTCACCTTTTCACACTCATTCCTTACCTGCTGCTCATGGCGGTTCCTCTCTCCAGCTCCCTGCGATCCCAATGCATATGCAGAGTATTAGAGCAGATGCCCTGGGCACATACCATTTCATTCTGCCTAGCTATACTCCATCTCGAAAGGTGCAACTGAGAAAGATATTCCTCTTGCTGACCTGGCCTACATTTTTGTACAGTGTTGTAGTGTGGGGGGTTAAACACGTCTGCAAAGCTCTTTGTTTTCCACTGGTGCGTGAAATGATCCCTCTGTAGGTAAAGTGCTCTGGGACCAGCCTACAAAGAGCAATTGAGCACATTCTGATCAATGGGAATTCTGCACATATGGTATGCCAGGGGTACGAAAGAGGACTCTGTCTCTTCAATTAAAATAGTAGGGCTTTAGGATACATACACTGGTTTTCCAAAATACTGATATCCAGGCCATACTAGTGCTGCTACAAAATCCAGCCTCACGATGCTGTTTGTTTAATTCTTGTTTTTCAGAATTGGCCAGTCCTATCTTACAACCTCTTGGAGACTCAGGTAAGCTTCCCCACCTATCTGAGCTACCCCTTTCTGTGAGGAATATTAAATGATGTTACGATAATTATAACTATTTATATAGCACCTGTCATGCCATCTCGTTTGGCTTTACTTATTGATCTGTCATCTGAGTCAGGTTTCAGCCCATCTCTAGAAGGTGTGTGCATATTTATTAGAACCAGCAACAGTTTAAGATGTGTAAAATAATATATCCAACTCAGAACTAAGAGGGGAATGTATGTAGGCCACCATACAGTGTATTTATGTCAGTTGTTTGCAATATTGTTGTAGCTATGTTGGTCCCAGGATATGGGAGAGACAAGGTAGGTGAGATAACACCTTTTATTAGACCGTTGGTCCAGTAAAAGATATTATCTCACCCACTTTACCTTAGTTGGGCACTTTGCTTGGATGCCGAGGTTAAACCCTCTTTCTCTTGTGAATTTTGCAACGGTACCTTTTGACAGATGGTTTGATAAATAGCCACAAGGATCAGAATGTGAGCTGCATGAAACCAGCTTGTTTCAGTTTGCAGAATTTCAGCTGCCGAAACCCAGCGGTTTACTTTGGGTTGATGCAAAGCTGAGACTTCCGGGCAACTCTCACTGGCTGCCTAATGAATCTTGCTGGTTTTTTGCTTTAGTCAGAATTTAACTACTTCTTATCCCAAAAGATCTCACCTCTGCCCTACCTTTATTTATCTGCTGGAGTGGAAAGGATTGCAAAAGAACACCCCTCACATCTGGCCACTTCTTGCTGCTTTAGGGGACTCTCTACCCCTTTAATCCAATTTAAGGCTCCTTGAAGGAGTGGGATGTCTGCCTGCTTATCCTCTCCCCATTCAGCAGCAGCAGGATTGGGAATTGTCCATCCAATCCCTCTACTTCTGTAATAGCCTTCAGCATGAGATGCGTCAGACAAAGCGGGCTATTGAGGCCTTTAAGATCACTGCCATGACTCACTCCACCCCACCCCTGACCTGACCTTCTCTGTGTTTCTGCATTAGATTGTGAGCTTATAAGATTCCGCACCAAGGACATTTGGGGATGTTATAACAACAAGCTGCTTACAGCAAGCACCACATCATCTAACATATTTGTAAAGCATCAGGAACACTTCTGGCACTCAATAAACAAACCATACTAGTAATCATTGGAATTGGTCTCAGAATGTCCTGATATTGCATTGAATTGAGCTGAATACAATAGCTCTGTGCTGCATTTTTTATTGTTCCCCTCATCCCCCACTGATTGAAGTTGCTTTGATCAGAAACTAATTAGCAGGAAGCTCATTGAGGGTTAGTTGGGCAAGGTCAAGACTACATTAATCTGTGCCACTAAACCACGATGAGGCAAATCATTCAGTGTAACTAAGAAGTAATTCAGACTGCACTTTTGGCATTTTTCCCCCCTCTTTTGTTCTGTCAGTCTGAAGAGAACAGCTCGTGTGCTGTAATTTAGAATAGAGCTTTTTTAAAGCTTTCACTCAGGAAAAGCTTCTGGAGCTCTGGGGGTATAGCTTAGCTCAGAGAAATAGAAAGAAAGCAAGTTTGCATTGACAGCTTGATCCCAGAGAGAGGTGGCTGCCTGCTTGTCTAACAGGTCCTTTGGGTCTGGATGAGGCAGAGACAGAGGAGCAGTCATATTAAGTGAACGTGTGCTGCCAATGTTAAAGGAACAATTACCATTATTCTGCATAGTTCACTGTTTGCTTCTGCTATTTCCTTCAATAAAACCTCTTTTCACTTGCCAATTGGAGCTTGTCATGTAACAATATTTCTCATGCACAATACACATACTGAAATGCCCTTGTGTTTTTAATACATTTATAGTGGTTAACAATAGTGGTATAGTGACAGAAAAAACGTACTTGCTTTGAATACAGAATAGATTCAAAGAGGAATAAACCAAGGGCCCTGTTCTGAAAGGATTAATGCCAGACTTAGGGCTGGATATTTGCCTGATTTTGGTGTAAAAGTGGTGGCACCTCTTTCATTTAGTTGATGTCTAAATATTCATCTCCAAGGTCCAGGCTGTGACTTTCTTACTCCCATTGGGAAGGAGTTACTCACATGAGTCTTCAGTGGTGACTTCAGTGCATCTACTCATGTGGATCATCGGTTCATGTTAGATTCACAGTTAGGTTCCAGATTGGATTATATCTTTCAGACATAGTCTTATAATACATCCATAAAATGGTGAACAAGTCCTAAGGGATGCATGTTGACAAACTTGAGTGTGCCTGATTCTGTTCTGTGTGGGTATCTAAGATGTGGAATAGGCTTCAGAGGAAGATTGTGAAATCCTCATCATTGGAGGTTTTTAAGAACAGGTTGGACAAACACCTGTGTGGGATGGTCTAGGTTTACTTGGTCCTACTGCAGCCAGGAGAGGCTGGACCTGATGACAACTCAAGATCCCTTCCAACCCGATATTTCTATGATTATGTTTATATGGTGGAGACTTGCCCTTAGTAACAGTGTCAATGTATTAATAAAACAATGTCCATTTTTGACTCCTCTATTCTGATCAGAAATTTTATTTTGGAAACTTGATCATATTGGTAGATCGTCTAACTTGGGGTGAACAATGAACCCTGAGAGGAATGCAGGAAAACTGAATTAACATAGCTTTTGCTTCTGCAGCATTGCTACAATTTCAAAGGATTTTTTAAAAACAAAACAAGCTGAGCAATACAGATAGAAAGATGCATCGTACTCTTAAGCTTCACAAGCTGCAGTGAAGAATACTGTGAATGAGACATTTTCAGTTATTCTTTAACTGTAATAAATAACAACAACGGCTCCCTGGTGGCTTTGCCACAAACTCCATGTGGGGGACAGCACATAGCTGCACTACTGCACGAGTACCCAGGGAAGCATACTGTGACTCCAAATCCACCTCTTGGTTTTCCCCGCTCCAAAAAAGGAGACCGACCTGGCCTCAGCCCTATATTCAGTGCAGTGTATGTCCCCTGGCATACTGGTGTAGCGGTGCTGTCTGGTAGATTTATGGGGCGGTGCCTGCCAGCCCACTCCCCGACCCACTTATGTGCGGGTGTAATAGTGGTTTTGACCACGCTGCTGCCCACAATATGGGTAGCCAGGTCCGGAGAGTGAGGACTGCTTCATGACCTCTTTCTCCACTGCGCTGGTGCCCAGGATAGGCCACAACATGCCCCATTAATAAGAATAAATATAAATCCAAAACCTCAGTTCTCTGTTCAGAAGAGGGAGGATGGTGTTGTGGTTTCAGGCAAAGGCTCGGGTTGATACGTACTTGATCTGAACTGGTTCAATCATCCCTCGAGGCAAAAAGATCAGAAAAATGCACTGTAAGAAAAAAACACTAACCACAACTAATAACAGGACAGCTTCTTTACAAAAGCCCTGTGGGACTGCAGCCCAGAACATAGCAGCTTTGCCATTTAGGAGATCCAAGCTGCAGCTTAACTTCAGGCTCCGAAACAGAGACATAGCTTCTAGGAGTCTCCGAAAGGGGACTCACTTTCTCAAGTGCAGAAAGAGTCATGGCATGATACCAGTGTGCCTTGGCCACAGACAGGAGGGAATCAATTAAAAACAGAGGGGAAAAGATTAGCTATCACAAAGGTGAAATGCCACAAAGACCTGCTGCTCTCTGCACCAGCCCCAAATTAGAATTATTTGCTTATTTTTTAAACTGAAAGAAACATAGATGTTGCTTAATAGACAAATTGGAGAACAAGATCCCTACCCGAAAGACCAAGCAAGATACTTTTAATTAATTATTAATTATTATTATTGTGTACTATGGTAGCACCTGGAGCCCCAGTCAAGGACCAGGACTCCATTGTGCTAGGCCCTGTACAAACATGGAATAGAAAGATTGTCCCTGCCCCAAAGAGCTTATCTGCTTCTCAAGACTTAGCAAATAGAAAAGTTCACCCAGATTTTCTTGCCACCAGCTGAACCAAACAGAATATAAAGTACAAAAATAAAAGGTCGGAGGGGGTCTTGAGGTGGCCAGATACATTGTTATGAGGAAGAGCTTATAGTCAGAAACCTCAGGCCATCACCACAACCACCAAAATGTACAATGCAAACCAAAAAGAAATCTGGTAGGAATTGGAGATGGGCCTGAACCAGAATTCTGGACTAGAACCTCCACACAGTGTAGAGGTTCTGATCTAGAAACAAAACTCTGTGGCTCAGGCCCAAGTATATGTGATTGCATAGTGTTGGACCCAAACGACCAACTTTTCAAACATGTTTCAGAGTAACAGCCGTGTTCGTCTGTATTCGCAAAAAGAAAAGGAGTACTTGTGGCACCTTAGCGACTAACCAATTTATTTGAGCATAAGCTTTCATGAGCTACAGCTCACTTCATTCGATGCATACTGTGGAAACTGCAGAAGACATTATATACACAGAGACAATGAAACAATACCTCCTCCCACCCCACTCTCCTGCTGGTAATAGCTTATCTAAAGTGATCACTCTCCTTACAACGTGTATGATAATCAAGTTGGGCCATTTCCAGCACAAATCCAGGTTTTCTCACCCCACCCCCTCCCCCCCACACACACAAACTCACTCTCCTGCTGGTAATAGCTCATCCAAACTGACCACTCTCCTTACAATGTGTATGATAATCAAGGTGGGCCATTTCCAGCATAAATCCAAGTTTAACCAGAACGTCTGGGGGGGCGGGGGGGGGCGGGGGAGGGTAGGAAAAAACAAGGGGAAATAGGCTACCTTACATAATGACTTAGCCACTCCCAGTCTCTATTTAAGCCTAAATTAATAGTATCCAATTTCCAAATGAATTCCAATTCAGCAGTTTCTCGCTGGATTCTGGATTTGAAGTTTTTTTGTTTTAAGATAGCAACCTTCATGTCTGTAATTGCGTGACCAGAGAGATTGAAGTGTTCTCCAACTGGTTTATGATTGGTTAGTCTCTAAGGTGCCACAAGTACTCCTTTTCAAACATGATCACCACTGATGTACTTTCAACCCCCAC